ATCGACTTGCTAGTGTAACGGTCGTATTCCTCTTGGAATACCTACTGTTACTTTGGGTGACGTAGCTCAGGAATGAAACTCAGCACTCGCTTACAAAACCTAACTTTATTAATTACTCAAAACAACACAAAGAACACAAAGCTAAACTAACAATCAAAAAGGTCCTCTTGGAATACCTACTGTTACTTTGGGTGACGTAGCTCAGGAATGAAACTCAGCACTCGCTTACAAAACCTAACTTTATTAATTACTCAAAACAACACAAAGAACACAAAGCTAAACTAACAATCAAAAAGGTAGAGTAGACTGGAACTGTATAAATAAGTAAGGAACTTAAACCCCAATTTGGAAAAGACTCTAAACCCCAATTTTGAAAACCCTTAACATTTTCTTACCTGGACCCAAGGCCAAGGGCCTTGGGCTCCAGCTCCCCCAGCAGGACCCCGTCCTCAGGTGCACCACACAAACACTACACACCAAAACTCACCCCTTGATCAAGTGCACTGGCCTACTTAAAGCAACAGCCTTCAGTAGGTCAGCACAACAAGTTATTGTTTAACAACACTACCAGCCTACTCACACAACATTGCCAAACACTTCCTCTTTACAATATTCGACCCCTTCCATTACATCCCCCTATTTCCTCCAGACGATGTCCCCAGCGTCTCAACTACATAGATACATCCACTCAGAGAGAGAGAGAAAAAAAAATTAATAACAAAAACTGATTAAAATCTTTTAAAATTGTACCTGAACAAAATTAAAATAAGGTTTAGGAGGGGAAGAACTGACCAACTGTTCGCGGACTTCCTCAGCAGTTGCGTCGATAAAGCCTCCTCGAACAGTCGTTGGTCTTCAGATGTTTGACCACAGCCATGTCTTCTGCGATGTCTCCCACTTCGGTGTCTATAGTCTGTAGTCCATCCAGCGTTCCTTGACAGCATTGATGATGAATCGACTTTGGTTGACGATGATGTTGGACTGCTTTTGCCATTGATTGAGTGTACTGCAGCCTGAAGTTCTCCTCTTCTTAAAAGCCCTTGCCCCCAGCTGCGTTTCCCCAGTTTTCATTGAATTTGACAAAGTCTCTTCCTCCGATCACAATGTTGAAGATAACACATGATAACACGGCAAATCATGAAGTTCTTGTAGCCTTGTCTACAGTTGGTCAGTGGGGATGGGTAAATAGGAAGCCTACACAAACATATAACTCACAAATACAACATATAATTTATAAAAAAAAAACCCTAGACTTTTTAAGAAATTCTCAAACTCGCATGAAGAACAAAACAAAAAACATTAAAACAAAAGTTATTGAAACTAAGAGAAGTGTTTGGAATGTGTTACCTTAACAAATTTGATACGATTAAATAACAAAACCTTTAATAATTTCTGACTGATTTACTTTAGATTATTCAAATATGACCTTTTTAAAGAATTCTAAACAAATAATGAGTTTAACAGTTGTCTCTAATTTCTGGTAATTTGCAATTTAAGTCTGAAAAAATTAAATAAACAATTTGTCTCACACTAAAGTCCCTGATAAAAAATCTAAAAAAAACAAAATATATCTCAATAAAATATTCTTTTAATACATAATCTGTCTTGTCTTCAAAATTTGCCAGACTGTTAATTTTACTAGAGGAAACTATTGCAACATTTAAAACATTATTTCCCAATACAGTTGCCACCTTTGTGAAATATGATACAATTTATCTCTAAAATAGTATAAACAAAGAAAAAACAAAACAAAATCATCTTTCAATAAAATTAGACTTCCCCATAGCATTTTTAAAACACAAACACAATTTATCATTGTCAAAATAATAGTTTAAAATGTTCAAACTACCCCATTCAATATAGCTTACATAATTTATGTTTAAAAGTTTACCAACATTTTGGTCATTTCTCCTCATAACATTGAGTGAAATTATGTTTGCTTACATATTAAAAACAAGTTAAATTTTAGCTTCAATGTGTTATATCAAAAATACACTTAAAAATGGCATATATAATTTTCCAATGAAAATGCATTAAAAAAAATTGCTGGAAAAAATGATTTGGGCCCAAATCGTTACAATCTAACCCGTAAGCAAAACCAATTTCCCTTTAAAATATCTCCAACAATCTATCACCTGTAAAAACAAAAATCTGTTCCCAAAATAAAACATTCATGCATTACTGATTTCCCAAAGCAAACTCTAGCATCTGTATTAATAGGTAAACATTGTCACAAAACACGGTCAGCAGTCAGCAAGGTCAGGTCACAGAGAGGCCATTTACACCACGCTCAGCATTCCTCAGCCTACAAACATGCTGAGCTGACTTCTGCCACTGCAACTAAGCCTGTGCAATACCCTGAAATATGAACATGAACACCTACTCTAATCATTAACAGTATTAACCATTTGTAAAAATCCCCATCTGAAAAAAAATATATTACTATCAAATTAAAGTTTAAACTCAAATATATTTCTAAAACAATACACCATAATACACTATGAATAATTAACTATCCCTCATACTACTTCTATAAAATATAATATATTGATCCACCATTCACTGCATCTACTGCGCATAAAGAGCTGAAACAGAATAGTTTGACAACATGTGTCCGCCACATTATTCGCACAATATACACTCTAGAGTAGAAATAGCAGGTCTGCAACCACAGAATCACATCTTCGAGAAACCTGGGAACTACAAGATCCCAGATACAACATATATTTAACCAGGCAAATACACACACTTGTGCACAGCAAACAACATCTGAAACACACATTACACATGTGCACCCAGCACAGAACAAATAAAAACCTTGTGCAGCTAGCACTTAGCATACAGCACAAAAATACCTCGTGCACTCAGCACATAACAAAAATTCACCTTGTGCTCCCAGCACGTAACAAATGAAAACCCTGTGCAGCCAGCACAACACATAATACCTCGTGCATCCAGCACGCAATGCTTAACAACCATGTGCACTTAGCACATAACGCAAAAACTCTCGTGCTTCCAAACACGATACACAATAAACTCAACTAACACATATCGAACTCACGTGCAACCCGCACATGACGCATAGAACACTCGTGTAACCGAACACAAACACATATCGAACTCACGTGCAACCCGCACTTGACGCTTAGAACACTCGTGTAACCGAACACGAACACATATCGAACTCACGTGCAACCCGCACATGACGCATAGAACACTCGTGTAACCCAACACGAACACATATCGAACTCACGTGCAACCCGCACATGACGCATAGAATACTCGTGTAACCGACACGAACACATATCGAACTCACATGCAACCCGCACATGACACATAGAATACTCGTGTAACCGACACGAACACATTACACTAGTTGTTTTGTTGTCATTCAAGATAGCGCTGTTCTGTTATGAAAGACAATCTGATTGGCTCAGTCTGCACTGCATATCTCGTCAGGCCTTCAATCATATCCTTTTATTTCTTGCATCTTAATTTAGTTCAGTTCAGTTCTTATCGTGATTATCTACTATTTGATGTCTTGACAATTCTCAATGTTTTTAGACATATTAAAATAATATTGTGTTTATTTAAAAATTGACTGAACATTATTATTATTATGCACTTTTTGAAGAAAAATGTTTAATAATTTATTTTTTTGATAATGTTCAGAATTCAGAATTATGTTTGAAATTCCAGATAGGGTTAGTTGCAAAACATTTTTTGCTGAAAATAAAATCATGACACTCTCTAATATTTTCATTTTTTACAATTTAGTTTCCGAGAATCTGAATAAATTTGTTCCTTGCAACTCAATCAACGGGTATATCACCAGACAATCAAAAGATTTATATATTCCTCAGGCCAGGCTATCAAAAATAATCAAAAGTTATAAATATTTGCAAATAAAACTATTTAATAAACTTCCAATACATTTTAGAAATCAGGAAAGTATTAATTTGTATAGGTCAAAATTATCAGATTGGCTTACAAGTCGTGCTTTTTATTCAGTTGATGAGTTTTTGCAGAATGAAGATTTTTTAACGCTTAAATGTGAGGCCAAGCAGTCTTGATGATTCTTTGTTCTTGTTATGGTCTTTTCCCTGTTAATTTTAAAGTTTTTATTATTACTGATGCTTTATCCTTTTAAGATTCTTTTAACTTTATTTTAACATTTTCATTTTCTGTAGAATATTTAATATTTTATTTAACATATGTAACAAAACATGTTGACCTTGTCTATTGTAATGTTTATATTACCAAACGACAATAAAGATTTATTATTATTATTATTATTATTATTATTATTATAAGGTGACGCTAGGAAGAGCTCGGCTCGAAAAAGCTCGAGCTCGAAAATATTTTAAAAAGCTCGGCTCGGCTCGGCTCGAGGTTGAAAATCACTATTCGCACACCCCTAATAATAACCTCCAACACAAAACAACAAGTGACAGCTGACCAGATATATTGCTATCAGTCTGTAACGTCAGTAAAGACAGTCTCAAAGGAAATCATTATTACCAACCGCTAAAACAAAATACTATTAGTTTTATGTAGCCTATTTACTATACAAAGTGACATTCACTGCTGCCCTAAGGGCCAAAAAGCCAATGCAAGCTTTTTTTCATAATTTATCTATACGAGGTTAATATTAGATAGGTGGCATGTGTTATATATCATTTTAAAGGGAAAAGAATAAAGATTAATAATACATAAAAAAATTAAAATGCAAAAAAAAAAAATTTTCAAGTCAGACTGCCCTTAAATTTTCTGTAACGAACCCCTAGTAAAAACTCTAACAGGTTCACCGACGAATTACTGCTAAGTTATCGGTTGCTGAGTTTGTAGGACTTTATTGTATTTTTGTAAAGGTCGCAACGTTAAATGTAACGACAGCTACTTTAAGATGGTGTTTGGTAATCCACCAATTCTTAAGTCCAAAATGTGCCAGTTAGGATTAGGCGAGTGTTTACTATACTATACTCCATTCTGCAGCTCACCTGCTGCTCGGATGATGTTAGTGTCAGCAGATGTTGCGTGGATTCTCTCGCCATGTAGTTCTTCCGCCAAGCCACGCCTTCCTTCACCGCCTCCTTCACCTTTTCTATCTGGTCATCCACATTGCTGAAGTGGAACTCTGTACTGCCCTGACAGACGTTTACAAAATCTGCAACCAAGTATATTGTTGAGAAGTGGTAAATCAAATCAAGGATGAGATACGAAGGAATCAACAACAAAAAACTCTGACTATAAAACAATCCACTTGTCCAAAAACGGCAAAAACAACTTTGGGTTGCTGATTGTTTAAAAAAATTTAACAAGTACATAAATATTAATAACTTGCCCGAAATATTTTTGTTGGGTTGGCGTGGTTGAACTGTTTCCTTTGTCTGTTGACTTTAAAATTCAAAGTCATATAAAATGTACCGTACGAGTATTTCTTATACAAGGTCTACCGGCAGCAAACTCGACTACATCCCCTTCACCCGCCACGGAACTGGTTCAGCTCGGACATTTCGCACCACCAATCGTAGGTCAGGTTGGTGGTCGTGGACCTTGTTGGCCGCGGACCTTGGCGCGTCCCCTTTCTTTGTCGTCGGGTCCTTGGCATGTTTAAACGAAAATATAATGTAAAACTTTTCTCCCGTAGTGTCCTATAGGTAACATTTCTTTGCCGGGTTTCTAATTATTTTTAAAACATGCAAACTGTTTACATTTCAAAACCAAACAAAACAGCTGGGATTTATTTTTTTTAAACTAATGTATCGACATCTGTTTCAGAATATAATAACATTCAAATGAATCACAAATGTTAAATGTCAAATGTTATCCTTATGGAAGCAGGGGCGGACTGGGTACTCTATTAGGGCGTAAACCTTGACCAGCCCGAAGGCACCTACCGGGGGGTCTGGGGGGTATGGAATACCCCCCTGTACAGAGGGGGGTCCGAGTATACCTGTAAACTCGCATTTTTAGGCAATCTAGAGGCATTAACAGTGGAAATCAGAAATCTGATCACTGACACCATTGGTCAATGTTTGGTTAAACAAATTTAGACTATTTACCTACACGACTTGGCGCTATTCTGACAGTAAATATCCTAACAAAAATAAAAATACAAACGATTTTCTTAGGTTCTTTCGTATTATATTTGTGTATTTTCACTATTTTCCCTTGCATGACTTGGCTGCATGCATACATTAAAAATCATATGCTTCCTGTTTACAGCCTGAACCTGCAACTGCTGTATTTTTTGGCACTGTAAATAACAGAAGTTATATATTTCAGATTTATATGAAATTATTTTAACACAAACAATATGCTTTCACTAAAAAAAAAACAATTTATTGACAAACTGTTTTAGCATTACATTAAGTCAAAACTGTAACCCTAAAGTAGGCCTACCTAAGCTATTTCTACAAACGAAATGGAAGCCATAGCCTAGAGAGAACTACGAAGGTATTTTGGGCTGGCTATGTGTAAATAAAATAGGAAAGTTGACCAAATTAGTGCCATAGTGCATATTGAAATCATTAATTAATAGGCGGTAGCCACATATTAAAATACTGTTTACTGTTTAACCTTTACTGTGTAATGGTTAAGTTAACAAATACACTGTCACTAAATCTAATTTTAATTTTGTAAAAGTAGTGATTCTACAATACTACAATCGTTCATGTTTCCTGCGGGTAAAGAATATAAAAATAAATTGAAGCTTTCGACACAGAGACACAAATCAGACACTCACTAAAGAGGGACACATTTTAATTGGCAGCTCACACTCTTGTTTTATTTATTACATGCACGGCAAACGCCATTTTACAAAAGAGTTGAGTTGACATTGGTAAAAATTAAATGTGACTTAAAGCATAGTGTGAGCAATAATTAAATATTATAACAAAAAATATGAAATAATATTAAATTATCTTCACTAGTTTTTTACCATAGACGACAATACATCGGGACACTGACCGAGACCGATGTCGGATGCAGTCGCAGTGCAGTTTTTTTTTCGGATTCGGCGTAAAATGACGCGGGAAGAGGACAGCTGTTTTTAAGTAGCTCAGACCACAGCACAGATTAGTACCTTCCACTCGGAGTAGGCCTACACGTACGAGAGAGAAGAGCTGCTTTGCTCTCGCTTGTCGACAGTGTCTATTCAGGTCTCACACCCGACTTTATGTTTTCCTATTCACTGCTGAAACTTTTACTCGAAGTTTTTACTCTTGCTTTCTAAAAATACGTCTTGTCTCATTTAAAAAAAAAAAAATTATGAATTTTTCCTTTAACGAGGGCGCAAATGTTGGAATTTTGAGAAGGCGTATCGGCCCACCGGCCGGTGGGCCGGCGGGCCAGTCCGCCCCTGTATGGAAGGAACTTTGAGGGCAGCCCACGCCCTTAAAAAGATATATTTCTAAAATCTAAAGCCAGTTTGCACATCTACACACCTAGACGAACATTTTGGTATATATGTAATATGTGGGGTTAAATCTTAAAACAAAAAAGCCTTATTGTTCACAAAGTTTCATGTCGCGTATTAAATATATAGATGACCTATACAAAATGTAACTGGTATGGCATTTTTTGTAAAAAGACAGGCCATAAAATGTGGAAAGGTTTTATTAGGCCTACATAATAATACCATAGACTAATCAACACGAGTAGACTTCCCATCCCATTTTAAATTTTGAAGCTCGTTTTTCGTGTCTAGTTCATGTCTGGCGACACTGATTGCTAGTATTGATGAAATTTTGTTTCTATTATTTCATCTATGATAATACTCTGTTTCCTCTTGGAACACAAAATAGTTTTCCTAAAAACATATTTCTTAGCAATCTTTTAAATTATTTACACAAACTGGGGGAAATGTGCTGGAACTTTAGCAAGTCTAACAGGCAGATCCACTGTTAAAGCTGTACCGTTGTACCTTTAGAGACTCCAGAGGCGGAGTAGCTGCCAAGGTGAGTGTCGGAGAGCAGCACGAGTCCACAAAGGTCGTTGGAGTAGAGGGCCAAAGCAGTCTGAAGTCTCTGCGGCTGTGTTCTGCGAACAAATACTGAACCTTAGCCCCACAGCCTCTATAGACTGTGCAGTGATCTGAACATAGCAAGTTACCTTTGCGACCTTAGTCACACGGGCAAACTACTATTGACCATCGACATCTCCTGCAATCGTGGAAAAATAAAAAATGTCTCCCGCAATCACGGAAACATCATCATTGTCTCCCGTCATCACGAGAACATTAATATTGTCTTCTGCATTAAATCAATGTTAGCTAAGCAATACATTTCTCAATTTAACATGCTTCTCAGATAATTTGACCGTTCTACTGTTCCGAATATAGTCCCGGTCCTGTATGGGACATATTAGCAGGGTTGTACTGTGTTAAGTTTTGATGTGACTATTCCATTATTAGGTGGAGTGAAGGAAACAGACACAATTTACTTTATGAAATTTATGGTTAGAATCATCATCTATCCGCTCTGCACCTTGAGATTTCTCCGACAACCTCTTTCTTCTTAATTTTTTTTTCAGAACGCTAGGCACGAGTCCAGGATTGTTTTACACATTACTTCAGGCTAGAGATCTAGGGGTTGTGGCACTATCACTTAGATAGAATCCATTAGTAAATCGCGGGACTTGAACCTGGGACCTCAGGAACCGAGGTCCTGCGCTCTAACCACTCGACCAGCTTGCTTCCCAAACAACACCTCTATTAGGTCAGCAATTCCTTAACCTGTATAACCCTCTGTATATCTGGGTATTTTGGATGCAAAACCTTTCTCACCCAGTGTTTTCCCCTTACCCAGCAGTGTTCCTCCGCAGCTGACAAAAGTCAAGGACGTCCGTGCAGAGCAGTCGTATGTTGTGCATCTGTTTCATCTGAGAGCCGAGGTGAATGGTGAAGCTCTCTTGCATGACAGGGTGGTGAGCGTCGGAGATCAATTCACTGAACGTTCGGTCAGCAGTCACTGACGGAGGTGAGTTGCTACACATTTAAAAAACTTAGAGGATTTTTTGTAAATATGTCTATATAATTGCTGGACAAAATACAATATAGATGTTGAATGGTGAAAAAATTTATCAAATATGGCAATATTGGCAATTTGACTCTTCATCCGATTGTAAACTTTGAAGCTGAAGGTTGTTTGGATGTCGGTTTATCTCCACTTGAGGTTTCTCTTGATTTTTTAAAGGTAATACCATCCTGTATGTGGTTTAGCCTACTCCATGGTTACAAGGCTAGGGGCCGAGTTATGGACTAATTGTAATTTTTGGATAAGCAAACCTCTTCTTAAGGGATCTAAAGAAATTCTTCTTAGAAAGTGACTAGAGGCTTATCAAAGTAATATACTCAAAGTTTGGACACTCACATTGGTGTAGTGGCTGACGTCTGCTTATCCATCAGCCATTGACGATAATGTCTTCGCTGCGATTCTTTGATGGCGTCCACCTAGGAATGAAACTTGGTATTAAAATGCATACATGTTGTGTGCTTTGGTTATAACAAATGAACTCGATTAATCTGCATGGAATTGTTACAACCCCTCCAGTTTCTTAAAAATACCTTATAATGGCGCCTCGATGAGTAATGGATGACTAATAGTCATAGAGTATCTGGTGGGTTCTCCTTTCCTCGCAATTGACTTGATTTTTCGTGAATGTACTGTTTGGCAAATGGCAATAAATTATTCTTATTCAATTTGTTTCTTCACAGCTACAAATATCATTTAAGGTTGGAGTAAATTGCACTCTAGGGAAGAGTAGCACTCTAGGGTTAAGCTATTTATTAAGTAGTGGATTAAAGCGTAAGAATCTCTGTGCTAGATGAAAAATGTTTCAAGTGATTTATCTAGTACAAATACAAAAGATATTTTTATTCCTTGCCTTGGATACCTATTTTATTATAATATTTATTGATTTTCACTGTTTTCAGGCTTGCACAAGAATCAGCCCTACCTGACTATTCCACTGTGCGTGCATAAGACTCTGCTGTTCCATGTGTCGCCCGGCCAGCTGGTTAATCTCCGCCTCAGTGCTGGTAACATTGACAGCGTCCACAGCTCGGCACATTTCTTCGGTCTGTCTAAATACACACTTACATACAATACACATGACATGTCCATACTCTATACCGATAACTGTAAAATATGTATATATTAGCCTATATTTTTTGAGTTTAGTAGCATATAAGAGGATTTCAAATAATTACTTTCAGTGTCTTTGTTTCTGATCCCTGCATCCTTAACAATTCATCAGTTGTTGCTACTTTACAGAAAGGTGGAAAATTCTAGTTAGTCTTGTGAACATTTTCAACCCTTTTAAGTAGCCTAAAGGAATGGGGTTTATATCGAATAGAAAGTTAAGTATGTAGTATATTCAGTATAATTTTTAATTGGCACCAAAATATAGTTGCAGCACCTGAATACTACTGCTTTTACACATGGAATTTAATGATTCCGGGACAGGAATCCTGCACATGTATTGTAATCTTCATCTTGTCTGTAAAGTTTGTGGTGTTACTCCCCAGAAGACAAAGATTGGCAATTGTTGGTGTTTGCCTCCATGCCACACCGGTACAACACAGCCTCCCCACTTTTAAGGTAGTTTTTATATGTACCTTTCTGTGAGCTGAGCTACTTGCTTATCTCTTTCAGCAATTACTTCTGCTACAGCTATTGCATAGGAATGTTCTTGCTCGAGAATCGTCTCTAACGCAGGTGAGTGAACCAGTTTGTGATAAACTGCAGAAAACACGTCTGCGTCGTTAGCTCCAGACTTTTCACCATACTCAACTGTGTTCTGTAAAAAGAACCAATATCGCTTGAAAACAGTTAAAATAAATACAAAAACAGCCCTTGTTTGTGGAAAATTTAATGACATTTTTTAAAACTTGAAATTAAGAGTGAAAATTGAGCTAATACCGATACTTTAAATACATGAGCAACTTGAATGCATACAGATTTTAAAAAATACACCCATAAAAATATATATATTGTTATCAATCCTTGCTAGGATGTCTCTGATTAAATACCGTATATTCGGTAAAAGTATAATTTTCTACCACATTTACACAAAAAAATAGGCCTTGTTCAATATGTTTAATTCATGCTCAGTACCCATGATATTACACTGCTAAATTACCTTACTAATAAAAAACCTTACGTAGACAAAAATAATTATTATGTCTTATTACAGAGAGGATTTTTTCCTCAGTGAAAATACAAAATTGTTAAAGTGTATGATTTAGTCAATAAAATGTTAGGTCTAAGCAAACTCTTTTACCTCTTTAAAACTTTTCTCCCAGAACTTAATAACATCTTCAACATCAGTTTCATTTGACAATGACTTTTCAATCTCTTTTTCAGCCAGTTCATCAAGGAATTCAATAGTTTCTTTCTCAACGAATAGCTTCAGGGATTTCTCTAATTCTGAAACAATTCAGACGCACACAATCAGAGAGAGAAATAAAAATTTATGAGAACTCTAACACGCCTACTGGGTATATGCTTGTCATAGTTGTTTACTGTGAACCTTATTAAGACAAGACTATAAGTGAATGGAATTATTCCTTTATTTATATAGCCTATAGGCCCTTACAGCTTTCTTCTCGTGGTACTAGCCCAATTTTACAGAAACTTAACCTGCTTATTTACTCAACTCTAAAGGCCTTTTCACACCGGCGTACTGGACGTACAGTACGTGGTCCTTCCACACAGCACAGAAACTTCCAAAGCGTCCACTCGTTCATTTGGAGTCAGAACAGTAACACCATCACTTATTACTAGTGTATTATTATTAATGTTATTAGTGCATTTGTTTTATCTGTGCATATATGTATTATCCGCAAGTTCATTGGTGTGAGCCAGGGATTTCCGTTGCATGGATTAACGAACTGAGTGATAGCAATAGTGATGACGACCTAGTGTCGTTATACTCGGTTATGAAAAGGAGTAAGTGGATTCATCCCATTAATAAAATACAAAAGATAGTTTTGGAGAGTACCTTCACTTGATGCATGATCTGGAGCTAGATGAAGATAGATTCAAAACCTATTTTAGAATAACTCCAGATCAGTTTGTCAAGGTATTGTCAATGACAACAACAACAACAAACTGGACATGACGCGGGAGCGGAGCACGTGGTTTTGAAGTGTCTACTGCGCATGCGCTAGCCCATGAACGCCACAGACGTTTCAGAAAAATTGCTTCTGATTTGATAGCTCCGAGTGATTCAAACGAGACCGTTGCGGACGTCCAGGAAGTCATGGATGTGCGGTGTGAATGGTCTCATTTGATATCATGGTCATAGCTACTTGTTTAAACAAAATCTTACCGGACGTCCAGGACGCCGGTGTGAAAAGGCCCTCGTGACTGCCAGGTAGGCAAGTCACTAAGCAAAGTTGGTAAAAAAGTCTATTAAAAATCCCGCTCGGTCCTAAATTTGATCAGTATTTTAATGCAATCCTAAATATGTTACATTAGTTTTGCCCTTAATTTTAAAATTTCCAACAAAGTAGTTTGTTAATTTTTATTCTAAGTAATATTCTAAGACAACCATAATGGGTTTAGGATAGGTATTGTTCTTATAACTTATCATCACTTAAAATCTTTTGCACAAGAGATTAATAAAAACAAGTACAAATATAGCATTGTTCTCTAAAACTTGACTTTTTTTAAATCTATCACTGGTCACTGGATATAATGATGATTAAAACCCCCTATCATACTTACCATCTTCAACATAAGCTGGCAGTTTAAATGAAGTCACCAGTCTTTGAACCAGCTCAGAAATTGAGTCAGTGTACGGTATTTCTAAGGGAACATTGAGTCGGTACATGTTTTCTTTTGTACGCATAGGAAAAGTAAAAACATACTCAACCTTTTTCATACAATTATGATATCTTTCTTGCATATTTTCTTAGGTTTGCTGTTAGCCAATGAAAATATCTTTAACACAATTAATCTATATTATTCTTAAGTATATTTAAAATAAATGACATGGGACACCGGCAACGGAATAATTGAATGCAAAATTAACAAATAGGGCCTAAGGAGGAATGATACAAATTGGCAAAGTAGCCTGTGTTACAGATATCATGACATATACATCAGAAGATTAAGACACAAACACATCTGGCTTGAGTAAAATTTGTAGGATTTAAAACTGGTACAACAACGGGTGAAATTCAAATACAATTACATATCTTATCTAAAACTAATTACATTATTCTGTATTCACTTCTTATGCTTAAACCTAACCTAGAACATAGCAAAGTAAGTAAACAACAGTTTGAGTCTGAGTGACATTGACAGCTGGAAAACTGGAACTAGTGGAACTTGGAATTGGAAGAACCAAACCAAGCCATCGACTAACGACTGAATTCCTATACCTCCTTGATTTCAGTTGACGTTCCAATCCAATTATACTGCTACGATGATGTTATTCATCAACGTTGGTGTGGGAGCATTGGGTGGGTCATAGAACACAATGTAAAAATAAATGTAATATCCTACAGGTAAATGACAAAATTATTTAATTTTCAATGTTGTCATGGTGTAATACCTTCAAAATGTTGTGGAAAAGTAGCCCCTGCCTCCTGAAATTCATAAGAGTAAACGAAAAAAAAACCAATAAAAAGGTTAAATACCTGTAGTACCACGGCCGCCTTTAGGCGGCCGTGGTAGTACTGTCAGTGATCCTGGAATTTAGGAATTTAAATGTAATTTGAATTACGTGATCCAGAGGCTAAACATGTTTAAAAAAACCAGTTGGTGGGTGTCGCAATAAGCCCAAATCCAACCCCCTAATCACTGGTTGCAAAATTCTTAATACTCTGCAATACATTTATCAGTTATATAAGGATATTTAAATTCATTCATGATCGCATTGTATTGTAAAATTTGTGTTGGGTATATAGTATTCAATCAAATGAGATATTCTGGCCATCGAAATGTTTCTGCTTGTGCTGCCATCTTTGATTGCTTACTGACTCTGGCTGACTGCTTGGCTTTTATGAAACCAACTGTCAAAAATTTCTAGTAGTTCTAAGTACTTACAACCCCGACGGAAATTGAGAAAATTTGTTGTTTGTTTAGCAAAATAATTTATACCTGTATCTTTATTTGTTTATTACTTTGATAATATATATTTTTAGTGACTAATTAAAATGACGTCTGCGTTGTATCTGGAACAATACTTGGATAGTGAGTTGAATTTTCTCTTGTTTCTCATTTTGTATTTTGAACCTAGGCCTAGATTAAGCAGCCAAACACTTTCATTGTCACTTTTTAAAGGCTATTCCGTCTCTTAAAGACGTGTTAATAGCCCATTTATGTATTACAGTACATCTAGTCCCTAAGAATTAATGCTCAAAACCAACCTAGCCTAGGCCTACCCATTTTATATCTTAACCCCAACTAAGTTAGGGACACAATTTTTTTTAATGCTTAGGCCTAAGTTATTAATACACATTTATGGGGAAAATTCCTACTAAATAATTATGGCTTTTACAATCAATATAAGCAAGCTACAAGCCTACAGTTCGTTTCACAAGTGATAAACCAATAAAAGAGTAGGTTAGCAAAAGACATCTTTTGTATCAAAATGCATCTGCTAAGTTTAAATTAGTGTGCTTGCTCGTGCAGACGGCAGAACAGCTGGATGCCTTAGTTTGGTGAGCACATTTTCCTAGCTACAGGAAGGATTTTATCGGTTTATTATAAACAATCTTTTATTGACCGTTGAATGAACTTATTAGTTTCAATTGTTCGTTCATTTCTTCCTTAAACTCACTGGTGTCAGCTGTGCAATGAACAATCAAGTGGTCGGTAGGATCATTAATGATTTCTAACCAACAAATTTACCCAACTTAGCCTATAAGTTTTAAGTTACTCCTGGCGCGGCAATCGGGAAAAGTGCTAAGTTTAACGCCGGGTGACTCAATGTTTGTATACATGTGCAAGCTGGTTTTTCACTCGTGAAACAAACCGCACATTTGTCTACTGGGTCTGATGATGATTGGAGTGTCCAATCAAAGCCGCGCCACTTAGGCCTACCATCTTTACGTTGTATTTACTGTCTTGTAAGTTGACAGTATAAGTGTATATGTTTCAAGAAAGTTATTGGACATATTTTATTTACCATACTTAGCTACCGTAGGCCTAAGCTTCTATCTTCTTAAAAGTCCTAGGTTCAAACAAAAATGGGTTTTAATAATAGCCTTTTTTATTTTTATATATAAAACAGGTTAGTCTAATTACAGTAATTTTATTCAGGTCTGGAACACCTACCAATAGAGCTTCAACGAAATTTCACCTTAATGAGAGATTTAGACACCAGAGCTCAAAATGTAATGAAAAACATTGATAAGATGGCTGATGAGTATTTGGCAAATGTAAAATTGCTCTCATCAGACAAGAAGAAAGAAAAAATCAATGAAATTCAAGCTCAGTTTAATAAAGCTAAAGAATACGGTGATGACAAAGTCCAGCTTGCTATTCAAACCTACGAACTTGTAAGTATGTTAGGTAATAGGCCTAAGATGTAAGAAGATTTTTAAGCTCATTGTTCCCTAACATTCAATACCGTACCTACTTTAAAAAAATTTTAGTAAGCTATGAAAATTCAAATTTTTAACGCTTGAAAGGGTAATATGACTTTTCCATGCTTTAATTCAGTGAGATATTTTACTAAGGTACAGTAAGATAACTTATTGTGTTGGCCGAAGCTCTAACCTGTACAAACATTTAACTTACTAACCTTTATATACTGTACATTGTACATTTAAAACTAAAATCAAATGTCATCAACCTATGACATAGTCAACTTAGTAAGTGGCAAGGGGTATACTGTTCTATATTAGGTACATCAAAGTATTAATCATAGATTACATTAAAGTATTTACCAACAAAGTTAGGTATATTTTAATTTGATCAAAATCATAATCTTCACCAGGTTGATAAGCATATCAGAAGATTGGATTCGGATCTAGCAAGGTTTGAATCAGAGATCCAGGACAAAGCGTTAAGCAATACCCGGAACCAAGAAGAAGCCGATCCCAAAAAACGTGAGTTGTTTCATTATATTTCAGTATTGGTATGTGATCTGACTACCGGTATATTATTCTTTTAAATATCCCATGCCTTCTTCAAAACCTGAATATTGATTTTTTTCTGTACAAATTTAATTAGGCCTACCCTATGTCTCAGGATATTTGCCTGCTGCAACTGTAGTGACGATAGATGTACGGTACCTACATTTTACATTCAACGGTTTCGGTTGGTCTTCGATTTTTAGTGTGTGTCGTAAAATGTGATCTCAAGTACATGTTTAGGCCTACCTATTCTCTGTCATCTATAATTTATTATGGATCAACTTTTTTTATACACTTGTAGGCAAAAAGTTATTGTTTTAGATAGAAATAGTTTATAAACTATAGATTAACTTACTTCAATTACCCAATCTAATTTTATTTTTAAGGAGGTCGAAAGAAGCAAAAAGAAAGGGAGAAGAAGAAGCGTGTTGGTGCTGGGAGTAGTGGTGAAGAAGATGGAGGCAAAACCGTCAGGAAAAAGGCCAAGAAAGGTAAATATTACGAATGCCATGTTACTACCGATAGGTAGAAGCTGGTAAAGAGGTTATTGAGATGTTGTTCCTTTTACCCGTCTGTGTGGCCAATCAATCCTATGAGGGTTATTGACCTCACCAACAATAAAATCTGCGATCTGTCTGAGATAAGTATTTAAATTTATTTATTTATCTTCTTCATAGCATGTTATTTGATTTATTATTAGGTAACAACTATTTTGAAAGTAGCCTATATCCAACCTTAAATAATTGAAATTGAAGTGAATGGGTTGATCAGTCATGTGGGGTTGAAACTCCAACATAAGTCATAGTGTTTGAGGGATGATTGCTGACAAAGAGGTTATTGAAAGGTACAATTTCTAAACATAACCCTCATATTATGGTAATGACAGAAATATTTTTTTAGAAAGATGAATGACGATATGTGTTTTTTATCGCAGGTGGTGGCAAGAACAGCAGTGGGCCGGCTAAAGGAGCGTCGGCCAGTACCAGTGTGGTGGGGGGTGAGACTGGCCTGGCTGCAGTGTTGCCTGGACTGGCTGGTATTACACACACGGCTGATGTGCTTGACATGCCTGTAGACCCTAACGAGCCGACTTATTGTCTCTGTCACCAGGTGTCGTACGGAGAGATGATTGGCTGCGACAATCCTGACGTGAGTATGATGTGTGAAAACTATCACAATACTGGAAGTTCCCCTCTACTAATTGCCATAAGATTTAAGGATTGTTCTTTGTATAGCAAGCACCTGAATAACAAAGATACCACTGTGGCTCATTAAACTCAGAAACGCTATTCACAATATTTCGCAGTCAGTTACGACATGTCAACCAAGGAAGGTTTGCGGTAAGAAGGAAGATCTTTCTTCCTGCTTTCAACAATAATAATAATTCTTAAAACCTAGGCCTTGTGCCCTTTGTTACATCATTAAGCTCATAGTAATTAATTTGAATTGAACCCTTTTGTAATGTTAATCCCCCTCTGGTCAAATTCAAATACTTCAAAGTTGTTCCAAGTAAATATCCCAACATCCGCAGAACAGTCCAATATGCATATGGGCCCAGTCTCGTAACTTAAAGGCTTGCTGGCTGAAACTAAACTATCTAAATTATCTTTTTTCGCCTAACTTAAACTCTACGTTTTGTTTCAGTGCCCCATCGAGTGGTTCCACTTCGCTTGTGTCGGTCTCACAACCAAGCCAAAAGGAAAATGGTTCTGTCCCAAGTGTCTAGCTGACAAGAAGAAGAAATAAGCCATCCAACATGTAAACATACCTTTGGTATTAGAAAGGTTAATAGACAACAAGACAACTATAATTGGTTGGTGCCTGTTAAAATTCAGATAGGTACCATGCTAAGCTAACTATCTAAATCAAGATTTTATGACTTAAATTGCTATATTTGCAATTTCACATATTTTCAAGTAGTTTGACTTTCATCAAGAGCGTTTTCTTATGACTGATTATTCTTAATGTGTTTTTAGTACAGTAGAGTCTCGGTTATCCAACCTTCCAAGGCAATCATCTGTCATGATGTCATCTTGAACATCTGCGATTACGACACAATTATCAATATGTCCCACGCTCGCGGTGCGATCAACACATCCCGCGGTCAGAGTGCCAGTGTGAAGATCTTCTGTGATCTCAGCGCCATAGTCAACATGCCTAACAATCATGGCACCATTGTCAACATGTCTCCCGGTCACGGCGTCATCTTAAACAACTCCTGCAATCTATGTCCCAATTGTCAACATATCCAACGCTTATGGAGCAATCGTCAACATATTCCACAGTCACAGCACTGTTTTAATCGTATGTCTTGTGGTCACGGCGCCATCTTGAAAATCTTCTGCGATCAAGTCACAATAAATTGTCAACATGTCCAATGCTTGCGGCGCGATCGTCAACTCATCCTGCAGTCACAGCGCCAACACGAATGTGGTATTTTTCTAACTAATAATCGAGACTTAGTGTTTTGACAAAATCATCCTTGTATATAATACCGGTACGTGAAGGCGATTTCTACGACACTACTCCTCCATTAATAATGGACAAACTTTTACAAACGATGTGTCAAAATAAAGTATTTTTTGTGTAGACACCCCCTTTCACCAATTCCTGAAACAAAAGTCCTCGGGCTTTTCCCCACAGGCCATCAAAATCCCAATGTATTTCTTATGAAGAAAAGGGGTGTTTACTTAAACAGATGGATAATTTGTATTAATTACAGCTGTTCATAGTAAACACATGATAGATGGAGTGGAGTGATTGACTGATTGATTACCGTACATTATCTTTGATTTGACTCTTTTAAGTCATCGGAAATTATGACTATTGGTTTTGAAATAACGCCTGTAATACTTTGCAATTGCTCGAATTCGAGCAAAAGGTGCACTAGTACCTTAAAAGTGCTAACTCCAAAATAGAGCACTACCATCGCCTGTTGTTTAAAGGCTAATAAATAATATCTTTGGTCATTTTTAAGATTGTTTTCCAAATGTTTTGTTCAAAGCTTAATACGAGGGGATCATCATCTAATTGTATTAGTAGAAAAATTAGCAAAGTTTACTTGTGTTAAAAGCTGATTTATAAGTTATAGATCATTATTTATAAGTTACTGATCATTTATAAGTTACTGATGATTTATAAGTTTGTTTTGTATCTTAATCATTTAGTCAATTTAATCATTTTTAATTTTTATAATGAATTTTTAGATGATCTGAATCATATTTGCATTTTAACCCTTTATTAATAAAATGAATAGGCCACAGTAGCACCAACAGAGTAACATAACCGAGCTTAACGCTTTAGGCTCAACAAGAAGACTGGCTCGTTTATTAAGGTCCAAATAATCACAAGTTATGGTTTATCACAATCTAGTAAAAATATAAGTTCAAGGTGACTTAACTTGTTAGGTTTAGTTTTAATGTGAAACTTTAATTGATATTAATATCTAGTATTAGTCGAAATTTGTAAATATTGTACATAATAAAACCAATATTTATTTTGTTATTTTTGTGTGACTTGTCTCAGAACGATTGACTAAAGATTCTCTTTACCTGTGTTCCAAGGGGGTTTCTTAACTGCTTCAATTAATGAAAGTCCTCACTAATATCTTTGACTATCAATACAACAGTATCCAATAGTCAATGCTAATATTTAAACGTGAAGGTGCTGCATAGAGGTTTTTGTGAAAGTACTGAGTTAAGGTTTAAATTATGGGAAAGACAATTAATTTATTTTACATAGTATCTTCATAAAATGTTTGTTGACAGTACCTACAACCCTCAAAGACTTGAATAAACTAGATGAACTCAGGTCTTTAAAAACCTGATCATATAAAACATAGTTATCTGAGGCAAGTAGATATTGTTATTTGTTATGAAATATCACAACAACAGTTCAAATGAATGTGTTTTTTACGAGCTCTGTTAAGTGTAAACACTTTTTATAAGTAAATAAATACGTTCATCTTAATCATCTCAATATTTATTTCACCTGTTTTTCTTGAATAATGGATTTTGAAATTTTTAACTGACTCCAAGCGGAGTATTTTGGTTACAAAGTAAGTTTTGTGGATAGAGTAGTAGCCTAACAACAAAGGTAGATGTCTGAGGAGCAGGAGATGATTAACAACCAAATCAGTGACATGTTTTATATGTATTGTATTTTCATTTATTTGTATTTTCTCAATAAATTAGAAAAGAGACTAGTAACATAGCTGCAGGAGACAAACCAATCTCTGAAACTTGTGGTAAATTACGACACCAGGAGTCTTAATCTATGTTTCATATAAAAATGTTCATTTCTACTTATTTACAATTACATCATTTTTACAACTATACAATCCACAATACACAACTACAGTCAAATTCAGTATAGAGAAAGAGATTCTTTTCATTGATGAAATACTCTTTAAAAAAAGAGAGCTGTCTCCATTAATTATGTCAGGCTTCTAATATTTTTGGTACTTTTATTTCAATTAATTACTAATTATTGTAGCCTTTAACATTTAAATTAGGACATCGCTAAACTTGGAAAAAACTTGATTTCTATTAACAGCATTTTTAATAACGCAAAACCAAAAAAATATGATATTAAACAATTTTGACAAGTAATTATTGACTTATTGTATTAGTTTTAAACACTACCTGAAGATGGAAAAATAGTTTTTAGAAGCTCATGTGGAATTAAAAATGGTATATTTCTTAACGAGAATAGAAAGTGAGTACATATTTAAGACCATGTTTGAAGTGCGAGATTTCTTGAGCAGTTCAAATAGTCAAGAGTGTTTTGAACGTTACTTTTCGCTACTGGTAAACTACAAAGACTAATTTTCTCAATTAAACAGAAATTGGATACTTCTTTATTATAGTTAGGGACATTTCAAAACTCATAGCATATTATAGGTCATGCCTTCAATTTAAAGTTAATATTAAGTTTTGTTGTTGAAAATTGAAACAGATGACTAATTAATAACAAATCTTTGTTTGTTACGTCGGCAAAATCCAAAGTTAACATTACTTTTGCATGAAAACATTCTTTTTCCGTAGTAAACAATGTAATGATGAATTTTCAGGTAATGTAATGTGATGTAATGTAAGGTAATGTAACATGTAATGTTCACAGTAGTGTAGCGGAAAAATTATTATTTGCCTTTTGTACCTTCAAATTTAGTAGGTATTGCATTACAGGCTAATGTAATTTTGGGTTTTGCCAGCCCTTTGTCACCAATCACCATCAAAACAAAAATACAAAAAATAAAATTGGGAACTCCCTAGTACTAGGTAGCCTTATATTAACCATAAGAAATCAGAATTTAAGATTATCCCATATAAAATATGAACACCCGTAAGATATTGTGAATACCAGCAAAGTTTTCTAACATTCCACATTGGACTGTTATAGTTCGGCCGCTTAGAAAGCGACCTGCGCGCTAATGCTAAACCAATGCTAGAGGAGGTCGCTTTCTAAGCGGCCGAACTATAGTGATAGATTGATAGAAAAAGCTTTCCCATCTAGCTATCATAGACTAACCAACACAAGTAGTCTTCTTATCCAATTGTAAATTTGTTGGTGACACTTATTGCTAGTGTCGACGAAGTTTAGTTGATATATTCTAGGATTAATTTCAAGACTTAAGTAGGCTAACTTTCAACAACCGTATATGTTGCAATGGCAGGAGGTAGGCTACTTACTCTAAAGACTTTTAAAACTCACTACATTATTTACACTGGACATGTATGGAGACAAGAAAATGTCTATAGCTAAAACTGTAGACCAGTATAACCCAGAAGGCAGGAGACCACTTGGCAGGCTGAGGCTTTGATGGAAGAGCCAGGTTCTGAGGGAGTGGGATTGCTGGGTAGTTGGGGGGGGGGGGGGGGCGTATTGGGAACCACCCCCGAGACAGCTGAAGATAGAGAGCAGTGGGGAGGCATTGTTGGCAAGGCCAAAAACCTTAGGTTTCAGAGGCCAAGGAGGTACGGTACCTAAGGTAATTATTTACAAGAATAACTCCACCATTGATAGATTAGGTTTGGTTTCGATCCTTCAATCACATGGTAGTTTTTCCCACAATATTTCATGGGTTTTAAAGCATTTTACACCATTAAGTTCTCAGATTCAAATACTTTTTTGACGAGGTACTCAGTTTTTAACTCTTCGTTTGGTCTTTTAGCTCTTCCGGAACACAACACTTTGAGGGCAACACTTTCCAGTTGTAATCGTAGAATTTTCTTGTCTTCTTTTCATTCTCACACAGTTTTCCCGTGTTGACTATGTTGGAATACAACTCCTTCATATTCTCTGGTGTCTGTTTGTGAGTCACTAAGTAGCTGTTATTGCAGCCACGTGAGAGATATTCCGTGTCAAATCTCACGTCGTGTTTTCTTGTGATGTTCAGGGGAGACAACCAAACACCTACTGATACGTCTTCACTCAAGTATTGCCTGGAAAATAACATCTCGTTAACTTTCAGAGTAAGTTAGTTATGTTATTGCAGTTTGTAGGTAGGCTACTAAAGAGAGGGTGCTTTTAGAAAGTTAGGGATTCGCTATGAGATTCTACTCATAATGTATCAGTAAATAGCCTAAGGATTTACAAAAGAAAAAAAACTATGTCATAACTCAAAGACCAAGTTTATTCCATTATTGGATTGAATTTAGTACAGTTGAGAGCAATAATTTAAGTTTGAACATACATGGTACTGTACCAAATAGGCCTATCTAAATAGCTTACAAAATGAATTTTTCTAACTTAATACCACAGTAGGCTAATAAGAATTATTATTATTGAAGGCAAAAGTCGTGAGCATAGCCAAAAACAAAACCTCTCTTGGGGACATGTAGATATCTTCAACGTCTCTCACAGTCACGGAAACATCATTACAGTATTGTTTTCTTGTGTTGCGACCATATTTTGAATAGGCCTATTGAATACCGAAATTTAATCTTTTTCCGGGATTGTGACAATGTCCAAGCAACCAACTATGACAACAACAATGTGATATTTTATTTAATATTTCTCGACTTGCTACCTACGTGATCACAGCAACTAACATCAAAACCATGGTTGTAGGTGCAACTTATTTTTGAACTGGGATGAAAGTAAGTTAAAGGTAGGCCTATAAATAAATCACTGTAGGCTATTTGTCTTACGTTACCAGTTCAGGGGCACGCCACAACAATGAGCTATAGTTTTCATTAACATATTAATCTGACGTCCTCAAAATCCTGTAACTTAAGTGTCCGATAATTAAAAATCAATAAGCCTAATAGTTCTTTACTTACCCTAAGAGTCTTTCATTTTCTTTAATATAGTGAACAAGTGATCTGGATAATACATATCCTCCTCCTAATGCATATGGCAAGTAACGATCACAAAGGAACCAATTCTTTTCTTTCCATTTGCCAACTTGTTTCACATGAGCTCTTCCATCAAAATATCCCCAGTATAAGTCTTCATATTTAATTAACTTATTTTTCAGTTCATCTACTACTTTTGGAATTAGAACAAATGAGTCATCATCACACTTTAAAATATATTTATAGTTGAATTCAGATTCAAACCAGACAAATGCCTGCAAGACTTTTTTAGTTAACGTCTTGTAGTTATCAGATATCGACAAGAGAAATAAGTCATTATACTTAATTTGTTCTTTTTGCAGCTTTGATATCTTATCACTTGGCAGCCCAGAACTGCCTATGATAAAGAAATATTGGACATCTGTGTAATCCTTACTCCACATCCCCCAAGAATTTCTAATTGCAGCTCTTTGAACAAAATTGTCTGCTGCGCTAACAATCACAATTATAAGAAAGTAGTTTATGGCACTAAATAGTTTTATATTTTTTGCATTCTTCACAGATATTTCAAGATCTGATGATATCACATTTGGTTTGTCATTAAGGCCTAGACTTAAAAAGTTTAATGTTATAATACAACCTAAAATAAATGAACCAATACCAATTACAATGTCTTTCAGTCTCATTTTGTGGACAAGAAGTAAGAATTTAAAGCCACCAAATAATTTACTCTGCATCATCAGAGTCAAAACGAAAACACTTTAGGCCTAGTAGGCTATAACAGTATTAACAGTCCCAATTTGAAAGACTATTCCTAGTTTAGGCTTAGCCTGACGATTGATTTGTTTTTTGAATTTATTCATGAACAAAACTAGGCCTATCCAAAATATTAAACACTTTATGAATTTTCATTGGTTTGGACGAAGAATATTTATCTTGAAGGAACTAAAATTCTTAGGACATTCTTGGTGATTACAAATTGTACACACTGTGCCATAAAAACAACGCCTAATCACAAACAACCTAAACAAAACACTGATAGAACTTTACTTTCGTTCTGCTTTCTGTCTGCTACGCTCTAGTGACACTTCTGTTACTGTCACTGTTGACACTGTTGTGTTGTTTTTCAATAGAACAGCTGCTCACTTAGAGGAAGTCAGTACTACCAACAACAATACTTTTTAGTAGGATTGTATGTAACATCATAGATTAAAAAAGTAGACAACAAGTGTCTATACTCCTTTTATCTATGGTAACATTTAAATATGTGGTAAAAGTACCTTTATCTGGACCATCTGAAGCGGAAAGTCAGTCTAATGGTAGCTATGTTTGTTTAATATTAGGGATGGGGTTTTTCAATAGTTTTTCTTAACATTCAAACTAGCAGCCGTATTTCAAAACTATTTTAAATAAATAAAACGATAAAATAATGATTATAACTACCTACGTTTATTAAAATATTTAAATACTGCTGTTTTGAGCTTGCTGTCATAAGCTTATTATAGTCTATGTTCTATGGTCTGATGTTCTATGGTAGTTCAAGTAAAAATTCATGAAGTATTGTTATTACAAAAAAAGGTTATTAGAATAGTTATGAAGGCTGATAGATTAGCACACTGCAAACCGCTATTTAGAGAGTTTGGTGTCATGACAACAGTAAATTTGTATATTTTCCAACTTTTATTGTTTACCCACAAAAATAGGGACAATTTATTATGATTGTAAAAATGACATAGTTTTAACACTAGAAACTGTAGAAAAATAAATGTACCACAAGTTCGTTTAGAAAAAACTAGGTCCGGACACATTGTTATGGGCATTAGGCTTTATAACCGATTACCAACGGCTGTGATTTGTTTAGATGACAAGAAGAAGAAGAATAAGAAGAATATTTATTTGTGTAAAGCCCCCCATACACGGGCGAGCATGTTGGCGAACATGTTCGCGAACATGCTCGGCGTTGGCAACAGACGGACGAACATGTTCGCGAGCATGCTCGTCGCTCGGTAGCGGTTCCTAGGCCTATTCTTGCTTCTGTTGTGCTCTGTGACAGTCAAGTTGTGTGTAGGCCTATTAAGCCTACTCCTGCTTTTTTGTTGCAATTACAGCATTTAGTTTTTTTTTGCAACATACGCATTATTTCTTAGACATAAATCAGGGGCGATTTATTTTTAGCCGATTTTGTAATCGGCCGATCTAAAAATCGACCGTTTGTGCCAGGCCTTAAGTTATCGGATTAAATTCATCCGTCATGGTTTGAAAATAATGTTGGTTAAAATTCCATAGTTGTGCAATAACATTTCTCGTGGTTTTGCTTATTCTAGCCTTTCTTAGAATTATTTAATTGTGACAAATTACTACAGAATTGATTGTACACATTTGTGTATTAATATACATGAACCCTCTATTTTGGAAACTCATTTAAATTTGTATTTATTGCGTTACAAACACAAATAAATATCTATTAAGCTTCTGTAAACATTGATTCTAAATCTATCACTGTAACTGGAATACATCAGAGTACCTATCAACACCATGATGATTACAAGTGCAATCTGTCTATTGCGGCTACTTTGTAATGGCGGTAACGAAGTAATCGTTTGGAATCGGAACGGTTACTTGTAATGAGTCCACGAGTGTAACTTGAATCATAGAAGTGGCTACATCGATGGAATTATTTAGCCTATCTCTACCCAAGTTGCAGCGACGAACATGCTCTCGAACATATTGGTCGTCCCCACAGACGTGCGAGCATGTTCACGAGCATGTTCGTGTTCGGGCTCGCCAGGTCTGACGAGCCAAGCGCCGAGCCCAACATGCTCGCCGCGACGCATCCCACACACGGGCGAGCATGTTCGTCGCCAACACCGTCACGAGCATGCTCGCGAACATGCTCGCCCGTGTATGGGGGGCTTAACTAGTGGTGAAAGTGGCACTTTGCTGCACACGAGAGCAACGTGTTGTATAGTGTTTGAAAGACTAATTATTTATATGCTTTATAGTGACTGTAGGAAAAATATAATGTGTAACACGAGTGAAAAAGGCCTTTGCTGCGGCTTTTTGACAATGAATGAATGATCTTATTTAGGTGGGGAAGGCAGGTCGGGGTTTATGCGGGATCATTTCAAAAGGCAACAAATTAGATACCCTGGGAGAATTTGAGATCTACAAAGCCCAAATAAAAAATGACAATACAGTAGTGAACTTATTTTAAACGATAAAATTAAAACTCAAATCACACTTCATCTTCAATAGTTTTATCAGTGGAGAGAACCAAGACCAAGGGGGCAAAAGCACAGCTGATAACACCGCAGCCGACACGACAATGCAAGGATACTCCAGTCACTCACTAGTCAACTTCAACTACTTGCTCCAGTGCAGAAATGTACGTTCCTCAACCAACAGGCCTGTTTTTTAAAACCTTGTTTTGACTATGTGTGTGTTTAATGTGAATTGTGAAAATGTGTTTGTGCCTTTTGGCTGAACTGAGTCTGATGATGGCACAGTGATGCTGAAGCGGCCGTAACATTGGTAACAATTAATACAGGAGCTGGCTGACGAAGGTTATATTTCAGTTTAAAAATTAAAATTAAATATGCCATTATGAGCTTGTTATGCTTTTTCTTATAAAAAATCTAATGAAGCATGAATTGTTGTTGGACACACCACACACTCAGCAACAGTGGGTGTTCTTAGGACCTTGTCAAATAAAAACTTAACTTTTTAATGACAAAATATATGCTTGTTTTTTCCAGGGTCCAATGGGGGGGCTTTAGCCCATATGTAGCAATTAATTGTAGGATTTGACTTTGAGCCCTCTATCTACAAAGCTGTTTTTGGCTGGGGGATATGATATGCCTTTGAGACCTTCCTGTTGTCCAGCCGGATATCAGTTACTAATTAATTGATTAATTTATGCACAAGCAAATCTGGAAAACTCAATATCTATACTAGTTCTAATGCTAATCTCCAAGTCTGCATTCTGTTATATTCCGTAGTTTTGGTTGAGTTATGTTCATAAATACCTGTAAGATAGGTAACCATCCACGTTGCTATGCTTCGTCCGGAAGCCACTGAACATCTTGGGGTGTTGTCGGTTGAAGTTTGTGATTTCGATTGAGGGTAAGGACAACTGGGATTACTGTTTGCACTTTGTTTGGAACACCTCCAAGTAAAAAAGAACGACCTAGATTGCAGTCTATGCGTGTAAGAAACTAACAGCTAGACAAGGAATGGAGTGACCCCTTTGGGCATAGACAGCCTCGGCCTAGTTCTGATGAACTGTTCTTCAGGCTCAAGCCTGAAGAATAGAGGAGGTTATTGGTAGGTAGGTAAAGACCCGTGTGAGTCTCACACTACAGGCTGCTGGCCACCCGTGTAAAAGGCATTTTCCCACCCATCCCTAAAAATAAAAATAATAAACTGGAAAGGGTTTGTTGAGATATGGAAGATTTGAATGTACAGTCTCAAACTGATGCACTGTCAAAGAAAACATTTTGTACTCCAAACTCGTTCAGTCCCACATATCAACCTTTTACATAGGCTTGTTCAGTTATGTATACCGGTAAGACATGGCTAATAGCCTTTTCTTATAATACATAACTGAAAAAGCTTTGTCAGACAGGTTGGCCAAGTTCAAACGGAGTCGTCATGACCAAGGCTGGATTTTACCTGTGGTGAGGGCCATGGAAGAGAGGTCCGGAAAATATTGATAAGGTATACCAACATGACCTTGCTTGCACTTACCCAGGTGGGACACTCGCTACCTGTCCTCACACTGGTGAAAGATACTTCAGTTACAGGCCAACTCGCTGCTCTGCTCCCAGTGTTACCACAATTATTCACTAATACATTTAAGCTTAGCTGTGTATCATGTACTGTATATATAGAATGTACCAAAATAAGGAAAACATGGCACAAGCTAACTTTTGGTAATCAAAAGTCAGTATTAGTGGGGTCGTAAACTAAATAAATTTTGTTTGTACTTGTTCAATAACCTGTAGTTGATTATTCCGTTTTATTTTGTACCTGCGCATCTCCTTTTACTGGCGTGTTAGCTGAGTGGTTACAGTGCTCGCCTGACAATCAAAAGGTTCCTGAGTACCGGTAAAGTCTGTATATAGCTTGATGGTTCAAAAGTGCACCTAGCTGTCCCTGATCTTCATGACTGATGGGACAGCTGATCTGATCTTAGTCATCCCCATCTCAAATGATAATGTTAATGGTTTACTGAGTAAATATTATGTTTTATCTATGGTATAAAATTGTCTACAAAATGGTCTTATGTGATGTCTACTTCAGAATCAAGAAGTCATTGGTAAAAGGGTTGTTCAACATGTTAACACTTACATTTTTAACATCTTCATTTAATTATTTTCAGTCAGTGTGCTAGTAGACATTATTTTATTTTGACAAAAAATATTTAAACACTGTTGAGGAATCATGATTTTTACAGCTTTATTCCAATGACACTAGATTGGTTGTTAGAAAATATCACCACTATTTAAATACTGACAAATAATAATTATAATGATGGTTAAACAAATTCAAATTGTGTGTAAAACAGTAAATAAACTAAAAGTAACTTGGAGCTTAAATGTTCACTTTCTTTTTTCCACGGTAATCCACAGGCCTCCTTTTACCCTTGGGACAATGCCTTTTGGCTCAAACTGAATTGGAAGTTTCATCTTCTTACTGAGAGAGACTGTGTACTGCGACATAATTCTTGAAATGCAGACTTTCATTTCCAAAATGGCAAATCTCATTGCTGAAAAATAGAAAACCATGTTTGTAGTGAAATATTGGATTGCATTTTTGTATGCAAGTACCTATATAAATATAAATAGTACCAGTATTTAATTAAATTTTACCTTCCTCAAAATTCAAAAATGAACTAAATCCTCCTTTAATACAAACTTCTCGCTAATTGAACCTATAAGAAATTCTCTGTATGGATTAAAATTAATATCTAGTATAAAGGAAATAAAATTATAAATTCATAAGTTTTTTAAACAGTAATAAACATATTAAGACTAAAACCTAGTTTATCAATTATCAGTTTATGATG